TGTACGTAATTCCTCCTTTAGCTCTGAGAAGTTTGATGGACTGAAACCTTCTTCTCTCATCTCATCAAAGTCATTCTCCATTCAGCTTTGATCCATTGCTGTCGATGAACTGTATTCCTTTGAAGGGGGAGATGTGCTCTTATTTTTTGATTTCCAGCTTTTCTGCCCTGCTTTTTCCCCATCTTTGTGGTTTTATCTGCCTTTGGTCTTTGATGATGGTGATGTACTGATGGGGTTTTGGTGTGGGTGTCCTTCCTGTTTGTTAATTTTCCTTCTAACAGTCAGGACCCTCAGCTGTAGATCTGTTGGAGATTGCTTGAGGTCCACTCCAGACCCTGTTTGCTGGGTATCAGCAGCAGAGGCTGCAGAAGATAGAATATTGCTGAACAGTGAGTGTTGCTGTCTGATTCTTGCTTTGGAAGCTTCGTCTCAGGGGTGTACCCTGCCATGTGAGGTGTGGGGTGTCAGTGTGCGCCTAGGGGGGATGTCTCCCAGTTAGGGTACTCAGCATTCAGGGACCCACTGGAGCAGGCAGTCTGTGCATTCTCAGATCTCAGCCTCTATGTTGGGAGATCCACTGCTCTCCTCAAAGCTGTCAGACAGGGTCGTTTGCATCTGCAGAGGTTTCTGCTGCTTTTTGTTTAGCCGTGCCCTGTCCCCAGAGTTGGAGTCTACAGAAACAGGCAGGCCTCCTTGAGCTGCTGTGGGCTCCACCCAGTTCGAGCTTCCCAGCAGCTTTGTTTACGTACTTAAGCCTCAGCAATGGCGGGCACCCCCCCTCCACCAGCCTCGCTGCTGTCTTGCAGTTAGATTGCAGACTGCTGTGCTAGCAATGAGGGAGGCTCCATGGGCATGAGACCCTTCCGGCCAGGTGTGGGATATAATCTCCTGGTGTGCCGTTTGCTAAGATCCTTGGTAAAGCTCAGTATTAGCGTGGGATTACCTGATTTTCCAGGTGTTGTGTATCTCAGTTCCCCTGGCTAGGAAAAGGGATTCCTTCCCCCTTGCGCTTCCCAGGTGAGGTGATGCTCTTGCTGGTTGGGCTGCTGCAGCTGACCTGCACCGATTGTCCGGCACTCCCTAGTGAGATGAACCCAGTACCTCAGTTGAACATGCAGAAATCACGGTTCTTCTGTGTTGTTCACACTGGGAGCTGGAGACTGGAGCTGTTCCTATTCGGCCATCTTGCTCCACCTCCAAAGTATACTTTAATATCTGATTTTGGTAATGCAGTTATGTCACTTTTCAGCACAGAGACTATTGTTACACAGAAGTTCAAAAATAACAGAATTCTACCTCAAGTTTAAGAAATTAAAAAAAGTGACCTAGTGGGGAACAGTCTAAAATAATATAATTAAACTGGTGAAAGTCAAACTGGTTTATGAATATAATAACTGGTAATATGATCCACAGATAGACAACAATGATTAAACAGAAATACCCCAAGGACACTATTGAATAGGGGATTGTCATTGCACTGCACACACATGGGGATCAATTTTATGTTTAAATTGAAAGCAAGAAGATACTTTTTTCTCCAGAGCCACTTAATAACCATCCATCTAAAAAGCTGATTTGGCTGGAAGAATGTGGTTGCCATAGAGATTATAATTAGGGGATGACTGGGATAGAGTGGCAAAGTCGTAACATTCCACAAACACCAGAATCTGCAGAACATATTTAAGGAAAGTAGGAATTCCCAAAGAAATTAGGCATTAGAGATTCAATTTCTCAAGTCTTTACTTGGAGTAATTATGTTAGTAAACACTGAAATATCCATTGGACATCCCATCAGATACCAGATTGAGAAAGGAATGATGCAGGACATGCAGAAGAACTAAGCTAGAACCATTCACTTCATTAAGGATCTTTCTTAGATCCTTTCAGAATCCCCATGAAGTCAATGTCATCATAGATTCATTCTTTTTCTATAAGTGCCTTTCTCTAAAATATAGTACTGCATTCTTCATGCTGTGAGTTGACAATACTAAAATAAGAAATGTATACTGCCTTTGGCCAATTTCAATTGTTTTTGTTCTTTTACTTTTTTGAAGGGATCAAACGTTTCTGTGAGAGTCACAGAATATTTTAAAAGATTTTTCTAAACATAAGATTGACTGAAGTGACTTGCTGATGGTCTCATGCATCTAATTAACAGATCAAGGCAAAAGTGAGAAAATATGAATGTTATTCTGGAAGCTCACAGGTAATGTTAAATGATTATTTTAGTGATTCACTGTGCATAACAAGTTAAAATGTGAGCAAACACTTACATGCTGCATTCCAAAATAAACACATTTTAAAAGTGATTTTCTATTTTATATTGTAATGGCTAATTACGGTTTTCTATATTATCACCTCTAAGTAGAAAGGGAATTTAGATTTTTCTTGGTATCTAATTTCTAACACTTATGTTATTTGATATAAATAAAATATTCAATTACTCTGAGATGTTTCTCAAAGTACACCAATTATAAATATTAAGTTCCCTTTACTTTTATAGTTATTGTTCTCAAGGCATGTACTAATCTTCAACTCAGCAATGCACGTATATTAACCTGAAAAATACTTATATCTAGAGCTTCAATGTTGTGGAGTTTTTGGAGTTCACATCATTAAACCTTTTTTTTTTTTTTTTTTTTTTTTTTTTTTTTTTTACCTTAAATATACACAATAAAATTTGTTTTTTAATAAAAAGTTTCTGGAGATTGATTGCCCAACAATGTGAATGTACTTAACATTACTGAATGATACACTTAAAGATAGTTAAGATGGTAATATTATACATATTTATGGTGAACATGTGATATTACAGAGTACATGCATACTCCTATAATGATCAAATCAGGATAAGTGAGATACCCATCACCTCAAACGTTTATCATTTCTTTGCATATCACTAGACTTTGATACAATAGGACCTATGTGATAAGGTAACAACAAAATGACAAGACTTTCAGAAACTTCTTCGTAGGTAGAACTTAAAGAAATTTAGAAGAAAAAAACAAACAACCCCATCAAAAAGTGGGTGAAGGATATGAACAGGCACTTCTCAAAAGAAGACGCTTATGCAGCCAACAAACATATGAAAAAAAGCTCATCATCACCAACCATCAGAGAAATGCAAATCAAAACCACAATGAGATACCATCTCACACCAGTTAGAATGGCAATCATTAAAAAGTCAGGAAACAACAGGTGCTGGAGAGGATGTGGAGAAATAGGAACACTTGTACACTGTTGGTGGGATTGTAAACTAGTCAACCATTATGGAAAACAGTCAATGTGGTGATTCCTCAAGGATCTAGAACTAGAAATACCATTTGACCCAGCCATCCCATTACTGGGTATATACCCAAAGGATTATAAATCATTCTACTATAAAGACACAAGCACACATATGTTTATTGTGGCACTATTCACAATAGCAAAGACTTGGAACCAACCCAAATGTCCATCAATGATAGACAGGATGAAGAAAATGTGGCACATATACACCATAAAATGGATGAAGCTGGAAACAATCATTCTCAGCAAACTAACATAAGAACAGAAAACGAAACTCCACATGTTCTCACTCATCAGTGAGAGTTGAGCAATAAGAACACATGGACACAGGGAGGGGAATATCACATACTGGGGCCTCTCAGGGGATGGGGGTAAGGGGAGGGATAGCATTAGGAGAAATACCTAATGTAGATGACGGGTTGATGGGTGCAGCAAATCACCATGGTACGCGTATACCTATGTCACAAACCTGCACGTTCTGCACATGTATCCCAGAACTTAAAGTATAATTAAAAAAACGAAAGGGGCACAGTTGTCTGCCGCATATATATACATATATATACACACACACACACACACACATATATACACACACACACATATATATATAAAATACGTGGACATATATGGATATATATATGCGCAGAGATATTGAAGAGATTTCAGTAAATATGTCACCATGACGCCTTTATGGTTTATAAATGACAGATGGTTTTTATTAGTGTTGTTTTCTGAACCATATAATAAAACTGGAGCAGCACCATTCCAATAGCAAGAGTTATTAATATTTCAGCAAGGTTGGAGGATAACTGTCATGTATCACACTCCTAGCAATTTAACTCATCCTTTCTTGGTCACTTCTATCAAGTAAGTAAGAGATCATCATCCAGTGTTTGCAAGTATGTGGTATCTGTGTTTCAGGCTGCCCCTCTGTAAACTTCTTTCATTCCATTATAAAAAGACAACTGTATTAAAATAAAACAATAAGAGTGAAAATTGCTTAATACTGCCTATATTCAGATTAAATATATTCTGGTCAAATATGGCACTGTTCACAACCTTTTGGCAACACAATTATTATCACTGCATTTTTTACTTTTTTGGCTTAGAAAATAAAAGTGACACAGTTTCCCAAGAGTATGCACATTTTTCTTTTCTTTTTTTTTCCGGTGTGTGTGTGTGTGTGTGCACGCGCCAATCTGAATTCAAGGGAGAAGAAATATTTGCGTTTTCATCAGTTACTAGTTTCCATCTTCTCTGACGCTTAATAACATTTTGAGCACATTGCAAATCTTGCCAGTTTGGTTGTTAAAAGTCTGTTTAAATCTCAGACTGATTCAAATCTTATTTCCTCCTTACTCCCTTTCTGTGCAGACTTGTTGGGGATTGTTGGGTGTGTTCAATGTACAGGCTGTTGATAAGCTCTGGGGGACCTTTCCGGCACCGGTTTTTGCCTACCCTTTGTAAGATGTGGGCCCCATCAGGCTTCCTGTCACCATCTTTGGGACTTAAGTTGCCAACTTCTGGACAATGAGGCAATGCCATTGAACCTCCTGTTACATATAAATGATATATGTATAGTGTGGTGCTTCATAGAGTTTGATTTAGAATATACTTCTGTAAACCTTCACTTCCATTCCACTATAATACATGTGTATTTTCCATCCACACTCCCAAAGATAGCAAATATATAACTATAAAGATTGACTTACCATGGCTGTTACATCTGGATGTTTCTACAAGCCTGCCATTTTGATCGTAGCATGCCATTGCTTGGTAACGATATCCTTGTCCGCATTCCTTGATGTCTCCTTGTACTTTCATCCCCAGCAACACTTCCACTTTTCCCTCTGGTAAAATACAGTCTGACCAGTTCCCCACAGGCTGTGCATTATATTTGTCACAAGGACAATATTGAGTCTCAATCAGGGGATACAAATGGGAATTTTTACATTTTTCCTTCTTTTTACTTTTTCCTGTGGAAGAGAAACAACCAAGCCAATTTAAACTGGAAAATACCATCATTAATTTCACACATCCCTACATTTCCTACTTTCCTAATTTCTTTTTCTCCATTTTAAACCATGTTTAACACTAGCCTATAAATCAATCATATTTTCTCACTCCACAGTGTTTTCTATATAGGCTTTCGTTAGTATTGGGGACTTTGCATAGTAAAATTTGTATTATCGTTTCAGAACATTCTTTTTCACATACTTTTAAATTATACTGCAGATAATTACATATATTTATCTCTCACCTTCATAAGCTGCGTAATAGTTTTTGACAGTCTTCATTATATAGGTGGTTCATTTTTTAACTTCACTTCTGAATAGTCTACTATCACCAATATTTTTAGATTGCTTTTGCCATTGGCAATATTTCAAATGCACCAAGCTTTAGTGCAGCATGATGGCTCCTGCTCTTGCTCATTATATTCCTGCTTTCAGTCATTACTACAGTTTAAAATACAGTTTTCAGATATAGACTACATTCCCCCTTCTAGGTGAGAAAGGATAATCTGAGGCTTTGACAGTGAGAATGGGTTAATAAAGTCCCCCCAAAAACTTTGCTCCAAACACTTTACAGTCTGTAGGCAGTCCACTAAAAGATCATGTCGACACCAGAAAATAATCTACTGCCTATTATATAGGGAGTCAGAGTTCAATTTTCAAGGCTTCCTTTTCTTCCTACTAGAAGTACATAATGCTTTTATCACTGCCAACTGAATTTAAAATACACATCTGAATCCATTGGTATATTATTTTTCAAATACATTGTCAGAACTCTCTTAGTCTGACTTGTATTGTGTTTCTCTGCTTTGACATGTACTAGCTTTGGCATCCCAATTATTCTTACCAACAAGAGTGCGCTTTCTGGTCCTAACTGCACCACAGTCTCCATTGCATGAAGAAAACTTGGACCAGCTGGTCAATTGACAGTCATCCTGGCAGGGGATCTGGCAGGCTTGGGTAAGGGCTGGCACAGGGCCTGCATACTGTAGGCACTCATGGATTCCAGCCTGTCCTCCATCTTGCTTGCGACAAGTAATGGCTAAAAGAAAAGCATAAAGCTGTTAAATTCAAATGTCTAACTACTCTATAACTTAGAAGCTAACCTAACATTTGGTTAAGCAGTCAGAGAAAGCCTCTAGTAATTCCTTACTTACAGTAGAAATCTTATAGGAGTGTTTCTAATAGTCACAGTAGCCATTAAATTTGTTTTGTATTTTTTTTAATAACACATAACCCTGAGTGATTTTTGTGGCACAGAAAAGTGGACACAGATGCACACTTAGCATTTAGCAGTTTTACTTATATGTATTCAGGGTTTCAACGGAGGTCACATTTAGGGTATATTTAGAAATAAACTTGTAAGAATGTAAGACAAATCATACATGGATTCTGATAATAGTTTATGTTGAGCATAGGATGTTTGGAGAGGGACTAGAAGGCACTAGGTATATCTAATATTGTGTTGTATCATTGGACACACTAGAATTCCTATATAGATGTGCTTTAGTGGCAGCAAACTGGTTGGTAGGTTGGGGTTTGGGGTCAGGAGGTGTGTTTATAGAACTTATCTTGAAACTGCATTGGCATGGAAAGTATGTTCATTGTATTACATTGCAAGTTTATTAGGAAGGGTTGGAATGATTAATGGATAGGCAATGTCAAAGTCCTCCATCTCCTCTTTCTACAAGTTCTTCACATGCACAAACATCAACCTTGCACTTAAAAATGTTTAATAATCTTCATTTATAATGTTAAAATTTGTATTTCTATAATTACATATAAATTTTAAAAAAACAAAGTTTAAATTCATACAAATTATTTCTCCTATGATATTGTCCTACTGACAAAATAAGAAATAATATTTTTACTTATTGAACATATATATACACATATATATATATGATTGCTTTATGGTAACATGTCTTAAAGAAAAAGAGCAAGTATATTTAAAGTCCACTTTCTCCCTATGCCATTTCCTTCCCATTGGTTTTAAAAACAACTCACTTATTGAGGAGGCAGATGAAACATTTAAACCTTGGTCCTAAAGTTGTCTTTATTGAATTATCTTAAATGGCCTCATTCAGATTGATTTACATGGCTTTTTCAGGTTTATAGTATAGGCTGAAACTGCTGCTGATCTCTGCCCTGTTCAGGATTCCATCACCATGAAATCAAGGTGAAGGAGGCTGACATTTTTGACCTTAAATTACAGTGAGGGCATAGAGGGCCTCCGGTTAGACAACACTGTCTGGATCTATGTACTAAAACCTAATGCCTAGGAGTGCAGGGCTTTGTAATAGAGTGTGTAAACGGACATAAGTAGCTATTTTAGCAAGGCAAGATTTTCTCTGTGTAGTTGAACACAACTTAATGCAACTGCTTCAGGCCTAACATAAAAGGCTCTTAAAAATTGTTCAAATGTGGATGCACTTCCCTATTTCTTAGCTTTAGATATGCTTTTCATTTAGTACACATGACTTTGGAAAGGCCAATTTGTAAGAAAAGAACAGGGGCCCCTAAATTTTTAAAAACATGAAAATCCTGGTAGGGTGAACAATGTTGGCCTTGATGAAGGTTAGATGACAGAAAAAAATAAAAAACATTAAGTGTCTCAAAGAGAATCTACCCCATTGAGGGAGGACATATCTGGTGCTATATGTTTATCATAGCAGTCTAAAATAGTGGTTCTCATGTCTGGCTGTGGATTATAATCCCCTGGATAACTTTTGGAAAATACCTAAGCCCTTGCTAAACTCTAATGCTCTGATTTCCCTGGTTGAGGTTAGGGTCCTGGGAATTAGGATACTTTTTGAGCTTTCTGATGATTTAATTATCCAAGCTATATGAAAACTACTGCTCTAGTAAGTAACATATTTTTACCTGCATCAGAAACACCTAGAATGCTATTAAACGTCAAGATCTCTGGACCCAAAAAGAGTTTCATAATCTGGACCAATCCAAATAATGAAATATCTGTGATGAGGTCAAGGATTATGCATTTTTTTCAAGATGCTCAGGTGATCCTTATGCAGATTCAAGTTTGAGAGCCACTAGCTTGAGTATTCAAGACACAGGAAGGGTTCTGGCAAACACATACGGCTGAGACAGAAAATCTTTTGGTACCTAATCACTCTGGTACCAAGCTTTCAGAAACAATGGCTGAACATTTTATGAAGTAAAAGAGTTCTAAACTTGGAGTTCAAAGGAAGGGCATGATAGAAATTTGTACAGGAAATAGATAAAAAAGAACATCCATTTAGTTTAGAAGAACATCATCTGTAACACGGGGTAGGAGAAATCCTCAAGATGCAGGACATAAATGAGCTGATGTGATTTTGAAGTTGTTTCTATACCTGCCATTTGGAAGCAGGATTGACCCTTTTGAATACTTTAAACTCAGTTAAATGCCAATGGTTCATGGACAAAGTTTCCCCAAAGATACTCAAAAGAAATAATTGATAAAGAGAAAGATATTAAACATTTTACTAATCAGGACATGCAGGAGCCTCAAGAATGATACATTTAGAAAATAAGACATCTGATCATATGAGATTCATAAGCTGTGAAGAGGGTTTCACTGTTTGCAACTAAAAGAAAATTAAAAATTACCAAACTAAATTTGGGTTCTTTGAAATGAGACTACTTTTACCTACTCTTTCCATTTAGCTCTTTGAAACAGACTTCAATATAAACCTTTTGAGAAATTAGATGAAACTGACTTAGGTTTTCTCTTAAGGGTCTTTCTTACAAATTTCGTTTCAGAATTGCTCCAACCATTATCTTGTTATGTGACATCAAAAACAAAACGAAATAACACTACTACCTAAACAACTCCAGAAACAATTTATTTTGTGCAGCTATTATTCACATAAACTGGAATCCCTTTTCCCCATATATCTGCACTACATAAAATCTCAAGTACTGCAGCTAGTTGAAAAGAAAAAAAATGTGTAAAATTCCCATAGCTATTCTCAGAAACCCACTCTGCACTTTATACCCCTTATCTGAGATTTTAGACCATGTACTTTTGGAATAAATTACTCGTACAATGTTATCCAAACAAGTAGCAACAGCACAATCCATACAATATATTGAAAACTTATCCTACATCTCAACTTGTTTGTATTCCGACTTAGAGGAAACACAACAATTCAAACACAGAAATGCAATCTGAAATGAACTTCCTGATATTAGGGCGAGGAAAATATAAATGTTTGGAAAGGAAACCATCTGGTCTCTCAACTTTATAAATCTTAAAAGTCATTTCTAAAACACTGAAAACAGGGTGATTTGAACAGTAGAAAAGATGGATCATACTAAGAGCATAGTTTCTTAGCACACCAGAAAACTACGTATACCCAGACAATCTGTATCTGTATTTACAGGTGAAGCATGTATATGTCATATCATATCTAATGATTACACAAGTTCTCCTTTGAGCTGAAGACTTGTTAGCAAGATGGGACAAAAATCATGTTACCCTACAGATAATTCACCATGAAAGCTTCTCAGTGAGATCAGCAAAAATCAAAATGATTATTTTAAAGTAAAATTCCATATTTAACTCTGTTGATTATAGCCATTTACTTCATTTATTTATTGTATTTATATAAAGCACAGCAATTTTTATTTAAGTGATATAGGACAGGCTGCTCCTGGCAGACTGAAAGCACGGGAAGAATCAATATGACGGATTTATGGGTTACATATGAATCAAGTTAAGTAAGTTTAGACCATCAATATTGGGAAAATGCTGTAAAGATAACTAAGAGAAGTTTCTTCAACAAATAAATGCTATGAAAAAGGGAGCTAGAACTGTTGTTAGATTACAAGTGACCTAAGAAATACATGAAACAAATGCAATGTGGAGACCTTTTGGAACCTCAGTTTAAACAAACTATGCATAAACATAAACGGAGAAAACTTATTATATAAAAATATTAGTTTGAAAGAATTGCTAATTTTGTTTTATGTAATAATAATGCTGTTGTTGTGTTTAAAATGCTCAAGTATTTATGGATGATATATATCTTACTTGGAAGTTGCTTTAAAATACTCCAGCAAAATTCTTTTTAAGTGTGTGGACAGAAGACCAAGAATAGCAACATGTTAAAAACTGCTGAAACTGAGTAAATGATGACTATATTGCTAGTACTCATTATATTAGTCCCTCTACTTTTGTGTATCTTTGAAACTTCCCTCAAATTTAAACTAAAAAGATTAGTAAGTTGAATAAGTTAATTGTAGAATGTTTTCATGTAAATTGAGTTTCAAGCTATGTTTTAAAGAGAAAAATTAAGGTTCATGGACTGAAAAGGAATAGATAACACTGGCTGAGCTAAGAGGACGTGGATATCTGTGTTATGCATACATGAATGCGTCAATGGAAGGCTACTGATGCAGCTCTGAAGCACATCAAATGGAATTCTGAATGTAATTGCTCATCTTCATTTTTGAAGAGGAATGCAATTTCCTTATTATTCAGGTTTCACAAGAAGAGGGTGTTCTATTGGTCAGTGAATTACCCTTCAGCCTGTAAGGCCATGCACTCATTTTGTTTGAATAATCAGAGTGAAATAAATTGCCTGATCCAAAATGGACACATAGAAGTCCATTACAGGAAACAGAATAGGATCAATGCCTTATTGCAGTGAAAGCTGTTGGATTATACGTAGCTACTGCTTCAAAGAGCTCTGTGACCTTATTTATTAAGCTGAACAATATTAAATTGGTTTATACCACTACACTAGCGTCTGGGTAGCATTACAGACAGAACATGATCAGCTCATTGAGTAATTAGATGAATGATTTTTTTCCTATGGTTTTATGAAAAAAATGGCAATAGTGAGAATGAGTCATGTAGAAATGAAGACAAAAAAGCTTAATGTGAGTGTGAACTAGTTACCAAGAGACCTAATTGTGTTTAGAAATAAGATCAAACCTATAAATAATGCAAGAGGGTTCCAGTTGTTTACTAGGTAGATATAATGATCCTGGTCTTTCTCTGTGTAAAAGAGATTTTCACTGACAAGTTTGTCA